CCTCCTCCTCCTCCTCCTCCTCCTCCTCCTCCTCCCCGTGCCACTTCTGTTCTATACTCCTCAGGGGGCGTATCTAAGGTTGTGGGACATCCATTTCCGATGAGCACCCCAGGCGAGCCTTCAGTGGAGTGAACAGGGGCGACAGTGGCATGGGGGCCTGCGTGCAGGCCCCCACTGCACCGCCCCTGGGTCTTCTTGAGACCTTCCGCAAGGTGCGAGCTGGGATGCCCGTGCCCGTCGATGCACAGGCGGCGGCATCCATTGTCAAGCTCATCGTTGGCCTGCAGAGGTGGCCCCTGAGTCGGTCACGCTGCCGCTGCAGGCGCGGCACCCCGCGCCAACAGGGCGCGATTTCTTAGGAGGCAGTGTTCCGACCTTTGGACACAACCAGAGGTTTATTGGTCGGGCAAGCGGGTGGCGTCAAGTTAGCTCCGGCTAGCGCGCCATTAGTTAATGTTGGCCAGGTTCAGTGGCCGTTCGACGGCCCCATTGCCACTGCGAGCGCGGCAGCCCTCAACTTCGTCGGTCTCATGTAGGCGCCGTGCCGACTTGGGTGCCCACCCCTGTCGATGGGAAGAAGTGGGCACCCGTTATTCGTGCCGTACTCTGGGATACCCAACCTTGTCGATGGACAGGCATGGGCATCCCCTCCCGCGTACATGAGGGTTACTTGGTATACGCACGCACTGGCCCGCTCCCAGGGCCGTGCAGCGGCCAGACAGCTGTCGTGGGTGCGCCAGCCTTCGCCATTGACGATGTCAGGAAGGCATCGTTTCGATCTTCAGAGCGTGAATGACCTACCCCGCTTTCGCTTCCAGGCAAAACCAAGCCACACCACGCGCCTCCTCGTCAAGCGGCCTGAACAGTACAGGCTGCAATTTGGCATCGTTTGGTATCTCTTGGAAGCGAGGGTGGTCAAAAGCGAGGTAGGTTTGTTTTTTCCTAGATCTGGATGCCCCCCCCCTGTCGATGGAAGGAGTTCGCATCTAAGCTCGGGCCTTATACGCTGGGCTACCCATCCCTGTCGGAGGGCAGGCATGGGCACCCCACCCTCGCAAGGAGGGCTCGCTTGGAATGCGACCACTGTGGCCCGCTCCCATGGCCCTTGGCATCGCTCGGACGTGTGCATTTTTCCTTCGGCGAGGACCATCGAGGAGCATCCGTGATCATTTGCGAAACAGCCACGCACGAAACCGAAACAAAAACACAGGGAATGGACGTCCGAGCGATGGTAAGGGCTGCGGGGAGGCCTTTCGCGGTTGCGGGCAAGGCAGCCGTAGACATAGAAGGTGGCCAATTGGCGTCGTATTGGGTTGGGCTCCCATCCCTGGCAACGGGCAGGCGTGGGCGTCCGCCCATCGAGCCTCAAGCTGGGATGCCCATCCCCGTCGACGGACAGGCGTGGGCATCCCGCTCTCGCAGCGCGGGTGCTGCTAGGCATACGAAAGCCACGGCTCGCGTAATGGCCGCAAGCATAGGCCACGTTGCCATAGCGAGCGCGGCAGCCTTTGGCACCGAGGGTGTCAAATAGGCGCCGTTCCGGTCTGGATGCCCACCCCTTTCGATGGACAGGTGTTGGAATCCACACATCGTGCCTCGAGCTAGGATGCCCATCCCTGTCGATGGACAGGCATGGGCATCCCTCTCCTGAAATGGGGGCTCGCTTGGTGTGTTTTGGCTTGGTCACAGGCGAGGGCGCAGCCCACAGTCGCCGACCGCAGCAGACTGGGGGGTGGACAGGCATAGCGGCGGGGCCATGGGCCCTGGTCGCCCTGCGGGGCCCGCGGGGCGGTTCAGGGTTGACCCGGCAAAGAAGAGGTGCGGCCGCTCTGTGAGCCCTCTGCCCCCGTCCTGGCCCCCCCCCCTGCGCCCGGCTTCCCGCGGGTGCCGGCCTGGCCCTGCGTCGCCCGCCCTGCGCCGCCCGCCCGCCCGTCGTGCCGCTGCTCCTATGGGCACGCCTTGGTTCTCCCGGCGGCGTGCTGGGCAGGCGTACGCCTGGCCTGGGCGCCCCGCCGCCCCCCCTGGCCTGACCCTGTGCCCCCGGCCTGGGCCCGCGGCCCCCGGCCCGGGCCCCCCCAGGGTTCTGCCGCGCCCCCCCTCGGGCCCGCCTCACCCCCGTCGGTGGGCCGCTGGGCAGGCGTACCTTAAGCGATGTTTTTTTAGGTACGCCTGACTTGGGCGTCCCGCGGCCCCCTCCTGGCCTGGCCCCGTGCCCCCGGCCAGGCCCCGCGGCCCCTGGCTTGGGCCTCCTGGCGCCTCGCCGCTGCCCCCGTGGGCCCGCCGGGCCCCTTGGCAAGCGTACCTCGTGCGCCGGTGCAGGTGCGCCTGACCTGGGCGCCCCGCGGCCCCCGCGGCCCGGCCCCGTGCCCCCGGCTTGGCCCCGCGGGCTCTGGCCTGGGTTTCCTGGGGTTCCGCCGTCGTGGCCCCCTGGGCCCGCCTCGTCCCCGCCGGCGGGCCCCTTGGCAGGCGTGCCTTCAGCGCCGCCTGCGCTGCTCCTCCCCCGGCCTGCGCCCGCGCCCCGCCCCCCCCCCGCCCCGTGGCCCCCGCTCCGGGATGGTGCGAAGCCCGATTGCGTGGGCGCGGACCTTGTCCGTGGGCGCCAGGTTGGGCACGGGCCTAAAATCCGGTGCCGCGTGCTTCGACCGCGGGCAAGAGATCAAACTTGGGTCTCGCGGAGTTGCGCAGGCACTGCTGCAGCCACGAGTTTCAGGAGGGAAAGAAACACACAGACACAATTAATCGTCGACTTCCAGGAAGATATGAGAAAACATGGGAAGTGGGGGGAAGACAAAAACCCAGAAAATATGGGCAAATATGGGGGATATGTTTATTCCCCACATCCAAAGTGGGGTTCTTGTTTTCTCTGCACACCCCCGCGCAGGAGAGAGATCTCACTCACCCCCTCTTCTCCTCGCACTCATTCACACACACATCATCATCACTCGCACTCTCTCACACGCTCACGAACATCATCGTCATCATCGGTATCGGCATCATCCTCATTCAAACATCATCATCGCCACCACCACCCACAATCAATCATCATCCTCTTCACCACTCATCTTCACCACCACTCATCATCCTCATCCTCATCATCGTTGAGTAAAGTGTGAGGAAGTCTCAGGCGGGAGCCCCCTCCCTATGGGGCCCGCAGATCATGTTGGTAATCCGAGCGGGTCATCGGAACCCTGTAACTGTCGTCACTTTTGGGCTCCCCAGGCCTGAAAATGGAGGAAGTCTCAGGCGGGAGCCTCGTCTGTGAGTGAATTGGGAGGAAGTCTCAGGCGGGAGCTCCCTCCCTATGGGGCCCGCAGATTATGTTGGTAATCCGAGCGGGTCATCGGAACCCTGTAACTGTCGTCACTTTTGGGCTCCTCAAGCCTGAATATGGAGGAAGTCTCAGGCGGGAGCCTCGTCTGTGAGTGAATTCTGAGGAAGGCTCAAGCGGGAGCCCCCTCCCTATGGGGCCCGCAGATCATGTTGGTAATCCGAGCGGGTCATCGGAACCCTGTAACTGTCGTCACTTTTGGGCTCGTCAAGCCTGAATTTGGAGGAAGTCTCTGGCGGGAGCCTCGTCTTTGAGTGAATTGTGAAGAAGTCTCAGGCGGGAGCCCCCTCCCTATGGGGCCCGCAGATCATGTTGGTAATCCGAGCGGGTCATCGGAACCCTGTAACTGTCGTCACTTTTGGGCTCCTCAAGCCTGAATATGGAGGAAGTCTCAGGCGGGAGCCTCGTCTGTGAGTGAACTGGAGGAAGTCTCAGGCGGGAGCCCCCTCCCTATGGGGCCCGCAGATCATGTTGGTAATCCGAGCGGGTCATCGGAACCCTGTAACTGTCGTCACTTTTGGGCTCGTCAAGCCTGAATTTGGAGGAAGTCTCTGGCGGGAGCCTCGTCTTTGAGTGAATTGTGAAGAAGTCTCAGGCGGGAGCCCCCCTCCCTATGGGGCCCGCAGATCATGTTGGTAATCCGAGCGGGTCATCGGAACCCTGTAACTGTCGTCACTTTTGGGCTCCTCAAGCCTGAATATGGAGGAAGTCTCAGGCGGGAGCCTCGTCTGTGAGTGAACTGCGAGGAAGTCTCAGGCGGGAGCCCCCTCCCTATGGGGCCCGCAGATCATGTTGGTAATCCGAGCAGGTCATCCAAAACCTGTAACTGTCGTCAATGTTGGGTTCTCGCGCTGCCAGAACGCAGTTCCCAGGCCACACTTTGGATGCAACAAGGAAGTTTTTGGGCTCCTCAGGTCGCCGAGGTGCTGCGACAGGGCGCCGAAGGCGCCGACGACGACGGCCAGGCCGAGGCGCGGGCGCGGAGCTTGCTGATGTTCAGGCCCAGCGAAAGGGAGTTCACATGGCAGAGCTCGGGGGCGCACAGCGTGCGCCGCTCGGGGTTCACCCTGACGCACGCGTCCTACCTGACCTCCACGCTGTCGCAGGGCCAGACGCTGCGCAAGGGCGTCACCATCGACTGCGCGAGAGACGAGGACGCTGGCCGCACGGGCATGTCGGACGAGCAGTGGTGGCTGCACCTCTACGTCATGTTCTCCCGCGCCACGTGCATGCGGAACATGCTGATCCTGCGGCCGCCGCCGCGAGAGTTCCTGGAGTGCGGGCCGCCGGCGTCCCTGCGGAAGGCGCTCCTGGAGTTCGACAAGAGAACGGTTTTGTCCAGGGCGGAGGCGAAGCAGCTCGCGGCAGAGCTGGGCTTCGTGCTGCCTTCCGCCTGAGCGCGGCTGCGCCTCGCTCGAAGCCCGCGGGGTTGTCCCAACGGCTTGGTCTTGCGCGCCAACGGCTCGCGGGGTTGTCCCGACAGCCTGGCCCGCGGGGTTGTCCCAACGGCTGCGCGACGTGACCTGTAGAGAACGCGCCTGTGCTGGCCGTGGCGGCGACGGCGCCGAGGAACATCGACATGCGCGCTCATGCAACAGGAAGGGGAGGAGGTGGCGGGGCGCGGAACAAACAGGGGGGCGAGGATGGGGACAACGTAAGGAGTGGAAGGGGGGCCCGCGCCAAGGCGAGAGGAAATATACGCAGAAGAGACAGCCAGGACGCCTCACCAACCACGAGGACGACGGTGATGGCTTTTTCCAGATTCGCCCAGAGGATTCTTATGTGGGGTTCTTCCGTCGGAGTAATTAGTGTGTATTTTTTTGTGTGTCCTGGGGCCCCTTCAGAGTTCTGGCGCGAGCACATCGGCGGGGGTCAATGGCCCCGGCGTTTTTTGTTGTTGTTGTTTGGGCGCGGGCCCAATCGGCATTCAGGGGCCCGCAAAAACATGGCCCCTGGACACTTTTGTGCTATTGTGGTTCGGCGGCGAGGGTTCTGACCCCGGCCGCGTGCATAGCGTGCACTGGTGAGGGCTTGGTCCCTCGAAGGTAGGGTCGCCGTGGGAAGGTCATGGCTCGCGCAATGGCCGCGAAAAGGGCCATGTTACCACAGCGACCGCTGCAGCCTTTGGCACTGGCGGTGCCAAATAGGATCTGGATGCCAACCCCTGTCGATGGACATGTGCCGGTCTCCACCCCAGGGCCGCAAGCTGGGCTGCCCAACCCTGTCGATGGCCAGGCATGGGCGTCCCCTTTCTTCACTTGCGGCACCGACGGTGCCAAACAGCCCAAAGCTCATGTGTCCATCCCTGTCGATGGACAGGTGTGGGCATCCCCCACCCAGCATCGGGGGGGGGTGCTTGGCATGTGAAAACTTGAGCCCGATCCGGCGGCACAGTGAGTGGCTATGCGAAGCATGAGCGGTTAGCCCTTGCTCAGAGGGGGGAAATGTGTTATCTTCCCTCGTTGTTGGGGAATATCATCGGCCTTTCCGACAATTCAGCTTGAATTAATAGGGGCATTCAGGTTCTGTCCGCCCTGACTGCACTATCCCATCGGGCGCTGCGTTCATGCTGGACTGTCGCACTCGAGGGAGGGCAAGCTTTGTTGGACAAGGCCTGCGTTGTCTTGTGGGACGCCCTCCAGACACATTTTCGCTTTGTCTCAAAGTGGTCATGACCTTGAGTGGTACAAGGGTGATTATACCAGGTCAGTGGCTCCACCCATGGGGTTAAGGCGCCCCGAAGCCATATCACTTCAAGTCCTCCTCCTCCTCCTCCTCTTCCTCCCCATCCCCATCCCCATCCCTCAGAGGAGGAAAAGGTACCCATAGCTTTACCTTTCCTTCGTTTTCCCCCTTTTGGGTCTCCCAGGCGGCCCTCGTCGCCACCGTTGGATTCGCCTCGAAATCGTGGTCAAAACGCACCCCGAGAGAGGTCCGGGGAGCAGCGGTATCGGTACCTTTTGGTCTCCCCAATCCCCATCCAGAGCTCCACCATCCCACCACCCAGTTGGGTCTGCCCCTCGAAATCCGGAGGGAACGGCCCATGTCCCCATCCATGGGGGGTCCAATCAACCAGTGGGGCCCAGGCCACGCTCGCGGGGATGTGGATCGGTCAAGCGATGCTCAGCCGCAGGTGGCTTTCATGGTCTACAAGAGCTTCATGAGCTACAAGTCTGGCGTCTACAAGAAGCACTTCTTCGAGCTCGTTCCCGAGGGGGGGCACGCCGTCAAGATCGTCGGCTGGGGCGTCGAGGCGGGCACCGACTTCTGGCTGGTGGCCAACAGCTGGGGCCCGACGTGGGGTCTCGAGGGGTGCTCGAGGCGAGGCAAGCTTTGGGGGGCAGCCTCTGCGGAAGTGTGATCGGGAGTTTTCGAGACCCGGGGTGGTTTGCCATCCCGAGAGCGCTCTCAAGGGGTGCCTGGATGGTCCCGAGCGGCCACAGGAGAGCCGAGCCATGACCCGCAAACCAAAGGGCAGTGTTGGGGGGTGATCAAGGGCAGAAAAAACGCCCATACCCTGGTTTACGAGGCGCTGTGCGCTGAAACTCCTGTGGGCTGACAGGGTAAACCCTGCGTGATGTGCCGCGTCCTGGCGGCTCTAGGCTTTGGGGGGTCCCAGGGTGTTTACAGACCGCGCACTTGTAACCCAGGGTAGGGTCGTTTTTTTCATCCCTCAATCTGATAGGCTCAGGGAGGGACTCATCGAACCCCCAATCGTACATTGATCGCTGACAGGGGCCTGATAGCCCACCCAGCCAAGGAACGTGCGGATTCGCTGTCTCGGGCCTATCGCCGATCTATCGGCAATGCATCGCCGATTCCAGGTCGATATCCACCACCCCTGAATTAGTCTCCACCCAACGTTACCCTCAAAACGCCTAGGCTCCCGGCGGTTTTCCGGCCTTGGGATGCTTTCCATCAGCTGTGCCTTGCCCAAAGCGTCCCCGGGGGTGCCCGCATCGCCCCGAACGGCCGCCAGAGACCTGAGTTATACTCCGAATGCGAGTCGCCATGACGGAAAGGGGTCCTTGAGGGGAAGGGATCCTGAGGGCATTGCACCGCGCTGGAGGCCTCCACGAGGCTTCGGGATTCTTTGAAAGCGATTATGGCCGTGGGGGGAAGGCCCTGGGGGTCCAGAATCCGTTTCCCCCAGGACCCGATCTTTTGTCGTGCCAAGGTATTTCAAGATCGTGCGCGGCACCAACCACTGCGGCATCGAGAAGGCGGGCCCGCCGTACGCGGGCCTCCCCCAGCTGGGTGCGGCCGAGCTCGTGATCTGAGAGCGCACGGGCGGCTGTGCGGCCTGTGCCCGCGTGGGTGGCGTCGTCCTGCCTTTTGAAGTCGCTTATGAAGGCGTCGCCGCCCCAGTCCCGGCTGAACGTTGCGCGTGGCGTGTCCCAGACGACGAGGAGCGACCTCTCGCGCGGGCGAGAGCGCTCGACGAGCGGAAAGGTCATCGTCACCATCATTCAAGGGAGGAAAGACCACCCGGACTGGACAATTGGCGTTTACTAAACGGCCCTGGGCGTCTATTCAACAGCCCTGCCCTGTTCGATTCCTTCTTCGGGCGCGTTTACTAAACGACCTCGCGTGTCGGAGTGTTTGTTATGGGTGTGGATGTTTTGATTCTAGTTACCACCACCATCGCGGAAAGGCCATCCTTACCATCCTCATTTGCTGTCGCCTCTCCCCTCTCTCCGACCTGCTCCTCCCTCTGACAATCCCCTCTGACAATCCCTCTGACCCTCCCTCTGACCCTCCCCCGCCCTCTCTCTGACAATCCCTCTGACAATCCCCTCTGACAATCCCTTTGACAATTTGCTGTTGCCTCTCCCCTCTCTCCTCCCTCTGACCATCCCCCCTCGCCCGCCCGATCCTGGGCACCGGCAGTCTTTTCAGAGGACGCCACACAGTCGGGGCGCCGAAGAAGGAAGCCTTTTCGTTGGGGGCGTGCTCGGCGCTCCTTGATTGTTTTACAGTTTGCCTTGGGCTTTCTCAGGTTTTCCCTGGGAATCGAAGCTGAACGTATGGGAGCTCAACCTATGGGAAAAAGAAGAGCCTCGTTCTTTGTGTAGGGTTTCTTAGGTCAACGCCCGGACTGTGGGGCCCCACGCCCCCGCGAATGCCTCTGGAGGCTTCCCAGAGGGCTCGAACAGGGCCAACAACGCCGATGGCACACCATGGGAGGCTCCCATGAGTTGCCACCGAAAGCACCGTCCAGAAACTTTGACCCTCTCGAACAACAGACCTATAGTGATCGTTGTTTGTATTCATTATTTTGCCGATCGGCGCGGGCCCCCAAACCTCCCATCCCCCCCCCATGGAGTAGATATTGGCTGTTTTTGGCGCCTGCTTCGAGCAGGTGGAGTTTCCCCCAGAGGCCGCACTGCTGCAAACAGTCGCACCAGGCAGAGGTCCGGAGCCGGACCCGCCCCTCCCCCCTCCCCTTCCGCCCAATGTCGAAACGACGAATAAGAAAACGCTCACCAAACCATTGGATGCTCCCATGACTTGGCATCGCTCGGACGTGTGCATTTTTCCTTCGGCGAGGGCCATCGAGGAGCATCCTTGATCATTTGGCGAAAAAAACCACGCACGAAACCCAAAAAAAGAAGGGAATGGACGTCCGAGCGATGGCGAGATGAGTTGCCACCGAAAGCACGGTTCAGAAACTTGGACCCCGTCGAACCGCAAACCTATAGCACGGACGTAGCTGTCGGAGGTGCGCGCGCGAGTTTCTTGGGTCGGCGCCCCCGGACCCACTGGCAGCACCTCAGGCGCGGCCCCCGCGCACTGCGCGCGCCACGGTGAAGTCGGGCGTGCCCCTCTACGAGATGGATCTTCAAGAGCAGTACAAAAAATAGTCTGGGGACGATAGTTCGATTGATTCTGAAGTTGCTTACACAATGTTTGGCTATCTGTTGTCTTCCCTCCAAAATCCGCCTGTACGAGGACATGCCCGACCGAACGCCGCTTGAGGGACGCATGAAACCAGTGCAGATTTCGGGCAGGTAATTGTGATGTTGTATTTCGTTCCTATCCAGGGTCGGAGGATGCCGCCGCATCGCCGATGAATCGAGGATGCGGCGCCATCTGCAGCCCCGTTTTCTCCACTCGCACGTCGTCGATGTAATGGCGATGTGGCGCGATCTCCCGACCCGATCTGAGCCGGCTCCCTGTGGGAGGCGCTCTGGAACGACCGCGTCGCTTGATGCATCCCCAGGCCCTTCAGCTCTTAGATGGATTCCCAATGTATTATCATCCGGGTTCATCCTCATCTTGCCCTCGTTTTCAACCGCGAGCAAAGGACCAGGCTCCGTCTTCGACTCGTCTCGTTATCGTTCGAACCATCCCCGCCCCTACCAGGGCATGGTAAGTTGACTCTACCAGTGTACGCCTTCTGTAGGGATGGGCACCGTGAAACCTTGAGGAGGCGGCACCCAGGGTGGAGGGTCGGTCGGCTGGCCGGGCAAAGGTCCTCCCAGCGGGGGAGGGGGTGGAGCCGCGGCCGCAGCATCAGGCGTTCACACATGGATAGCTCCAGCATGAACTGACAACATCTCTCAGGATGACTCGAATAATACAATAGTTTCGCGGATCTAAATCGAGCAGCAGACCGAGTTCCGAGCTCTAGAATCGACCGAAAGACGCGCCTGATCTGTGCAAATCGATTTGTGTGACCCGCAGCACTCAAACATCGAACACACGCACACACACACAATGAGAAACACGAAGAGATAAATATGAACAGACACACAGACACACATCCAGACAGAGAGCAGGACACAGGCAAACATACAGCAGTGGAATGCAGAAGCTTGTTCATCCTGCATCGAGGTCGAGTCGCATTTGTCGCTATTGTGACCGCCGTGAGTCTGTGATTGCTCGTCCCACTACCGGCATTCTGCAGGGTGTGTCTAGGCTGTCCCTCCCTGCGATTCGCCCCGCCCCAGCGCACCCACCCTGTGGTGATACGGCACCCATACCCACCGAGGGGGGGGGTGACGCCGGCGGGCTGTGCCAAGATGTGCCATGGCTTCTCCAGTGGGGTGGGGATGGTTTTGCCGATCCAGATTTCGTAATAAAAGGGAGGGGGTCTGGACCCTCCAAGACAAGCCATTTCAGACCTCCCCCGTGGGAGAACCCTCCAAAACATCGTCCCCAGACCCCCCAGGCCCTCCAAGATAGCCTGGAAGAGACCCCCCCCGAAATGAGACCCCCCTCCCTTTATTACGACATCTGGAGTAGGCTGTCCCTCCCTGCGATTCGCCCCGCCCCAGCGCACCCACCCTGTGGTGCTGCGGCGCCCATGCCCACCTGAGGGGGGTGACGCCGGCGGGCTGTGCCAAGATGTTGCCATGGCTTCTCCAGTGGGGTGGGGATGGAGGAGGAGGAGGAGGAGGCGGAGGAGGAGGAGGAGGAGGCGGAGGAGGAGGAGGAGGAGGAGGAGGCGGAGGAGGAGGAGGAGGAGGAGGAGGCG